GGGAACATACTGGTTAGAGCTGAAAGGGTATTTTTTTAAATATAAATTTATTTATTTTTAGTTTTCAATATTCACTTCCACAAGTTTTTGAGTTCCAAATTTCTCACCACTCCCCCCACCCCAAGATGGCATGCATTCTGAATACCCCTTCCCCTGGTCTGCCTTCTCTTCTATCTCTCCCCCCTCCCTTCTCTTATCCCCTTCCCCTTCTATTTTCCTGTAGAGCAGGACAGACTTCTGTACCCCATTTCCTGTATTTCTTATTTCCCAGTTGCATGTGAAAACATTTTTTTAAAACATGTGTTTTTAAAAGTCTGACTTCCAAATTTTCTCCCTTCCTCCCTCCCCACCCACCCTCATTGAAAAGGCAAGCAACTCAATATAGGTTGTACATGTGCAGTTATGCAAAACACTTCCTTAGTAGACATGTTGTGAAAAACTAACTCTATTTCCCTTAATCCTATCCTGCCCTCCCATTTATTCTATTCTTTCTTTTGACCCTGTCCCTCCTCAGAAGTATTTGCTTCTGATTACCCTCTTTCCCAATCTGCCCTCCTCTCTATCATCCCACTCCTCTCTTGTCGCCTTCTCCCCCATTTTCCTGTAGTGTAAGACAGATTTCCATACCCAATTGAATGTGTATGGTATTCTCTCCTTAAGCCAAATCCTATGAGAATAAGATTCCTCATTCCCTCTCACCTTCCCCTGTTTCCCTCCACTGTGAGAGATTTTCTTTTCTGTTTTTTTTTTGTGAGATAATTTACCCCATTCTACCTCTCCCTTTCTTCTCCGAGTATCATCCTCTCTCATCCCTTAATTTTATTCTCCAGATATGACCCCTTAATCTTCAACTCACCCTGTGCCCTCTATCTATCTATCTATCTATCTATCTATCTATCTATCTATCTATCTATCTATCTATCTATACATACATATATTTTTTTCCTTCAACTACCCTAATACTGACAAAGTTCTCATGAGTTACAAATATCATCTTTCCATGCAGGAATGTAAACAGTTCAGTCTTAGTAAGTCTGTTATGATTTCTCTTTCCTGTTTACCTCTTCATGTTCCACTTGAAAATATTTGAAAGTCAAATTTTCTGTTCAGCTCTGGTCTTTTCATCAGGAATGCTTGAAAGTCCTCTATTTCACTGAATGACCATTTTTTCCCCTGAAGGATTATACTCAGTTTTGCTGGGTAGGTGATTCTTGGTTGTAATCCTATCTCCTTTGCCCTCCAGAATATTATATTCCATGCCCTGCGGTCCTTTAATGTAGAAGCTGCTAAATCTTGTGTTATCCTGATTGTGTTTCCACAGTACTTGAATTGTTTCCTTCTGGCAGCTTGTAATATTTTCTCCTTGACCTGGGAACTCTGGAATTTGGCTACAATATTCCTAGGAGTTTTCCTTTGGGGATCTCTTCCAGGAGGAGATCTGTGAATTCTTTCAATTTCTATTTTGCCCTCTGGTTCTACTATATCAGGGCAGTTTTCCTTGATAATGTCTTGAAAGATGACGTCTAGGCTCTTTTTTTGATCATGGCTTTCAGATAGTCCAATAATTTTTAAATTCTCTCTCCTGGACCTATTTTCCAGGTCTGTTTTCTAGTTTTTGATTCTTTTGGATTTGTTTTACAGTGTCTTGATTTCTCATAAAGTCATTAGCTTCCAATTGCTCTATCCTAATTTTTAAGGCAGTATTTTCTTCAGTAATCTTTTGGACTTCCTTTTCCATTTGGCCAATTTTTCTTTTTAGGGCATTTTTCTCCTCATTGGCTTTTTGGACCTCTTTTGCCATTTCAGTTAGTCTATTTTTTAAGGTGTTATTTTCTTCAGTATTTTTTGGGGTCTCCTTTAGCAAGCTGTTGACTTGTTTTTCATGATTTTCTTGCATCACTTTCATTTCTCTTCCCAGTTTTTCCTGTACTTCCCTTACTTGTTTCTCAAAATCCCTTTTGAGCCCTTCCAAGGCCTGGGACGGATTCATATTTTTCTTGGAGGCTTTGGATGTAGGAACTTTGATTTTGTTGTCTTCTGGTTGTATATTTTGATCTTCCTTTTCACAAAGTAAGATAATATAGTCTGACTCTTTCTGCACTGCTTTCTCATGATCCCGGCCAATTACTTGAGTTTTAAACTCTTTGTTAAGGTAAGAGCCTGCTTCCAATGTGGAGAGTGTACTGTCCCAAGCTTCAGGGGTTTGTGTAGCTGTTTTCAGAGATATTTGTAAGGGACCTGTAAATTTTCAGCTCTTCCAAGGTGGTATGATATGGGGCGAGGTGTTTACTCCTTTCCTGGCCTGTGACCACAAGTATTCCTTTCTGTGTTGTAACTGTACACTTGTAACACTACAAGCTGTACCATGCCAGCACTCCTCCTTACCCCAGGACTCCCGTCCAGAACTGTGACCCAGATCCACACACGGGCAAAGCAAGAGATTCCTGCCTCAGCACTGGCAAAGAGATCCCTGCAATCCCTCTCTGATCAGCCACTGGGTTCCCCCTCAGTCTGTGGGCCTGCAGCTCAGGAAGCAGCTGCTCCCCCCAGGGCTAGGCTCTTGGGGAATGGAGCTGAAACCCCACCTTCCTCTCTGAGCACCGAGAGAAACAGACTTTTCCCAATGACCTTGTAAATTGTTTTTGGCATTCTTGGATTAAGGAATCTGGAAAGCTCCACAGCTGCCCGAGATTCAGTCCTCTGAGGCCTGCTCCAGGTTTGCTGAGGCTTGCACACCCACGCTGCGCTGTGCCCCCAGCCTGGCATGATACACCTTTCTGATCAATCATCCAGGTTGTCTTGGGCTGGAAATATGTTTCACTCTGTCTTTTTGTGGGTTCTGCTGCTTCAGAATTTGTTTAGAGCCATTTTTATGAGTATTTGGAGGTGTTTGGGGGAGAGCTCAAGCAAGTCACTGCTTTCACTCAGCCATCTTGGCTCCGCCCCAGAACCTGAAAAGGTCTTTAAAATAATCTTTTCTAACCACCTTATTTTCAGGTAGGGAAAATGAGATAGGACAGTGAAACGACTTGCCCACAGTAATACAATAAGTAAGGGAAAGTATTGTGATGTGAGTAAAGGTATTCTGAGAATGAATCTAATGCTCTTTCTTTTACTCTATAGTATAGTACTAAAACAAATAATGCTCCTGCCAGAGCAATGGTCTAAATAAAAAAACAAACAAACAAACAAACAAAAACTAAATGAAATACGGCTGGTAATACAGACCTTGACATAAGCCAAAGTACTAATCAAACTTTTTTAGATGGTTGATGCCAAATATTATCCCATACTTCCTTGTTCCAAAATAGAAAATGTTAACGGTGAATGCAGAGTTTTTAACACTACTAGAAATCCTCTAAGTTAAGTATTGTCAGGATAACTTCATTTATATTACTCTTTGTTCTGCAAACCTGTTCTCATTGATGTGCCATTATCTCCTTATGATGCTAACAATCTTTCATTGGTAACTGGTCTGCAAACAAATTATAAGGTTTCCAAGATAAAGTCAACATAAGCAGAAATGTGCACATGTATTTCTTCATTAACCAGTTGCCAGAACTTAGTCATATATGACAAAGAATATAACTAGCCATATCTTGACAGTGAATAAATTTTTCTCTGCTGCTAAAACACATAACTGTAGTTTCAAGAGACATGCCAGGATATGCCAGGCCACTCAGAATCTATTTGCTTGGACTAAGAGGTTTTTTTTTCTTTATTTACAGAATCAGAGGGACTCAAATAGGAAATTGTAAGGTGACTTTCTGAAAAAGCCGGCCAATTACTTCTTGGCAAGTTGTAGATACCAAAAAGGAAGGAAAGAGTATGAAAGCACTGTAACATTAAATCCCAAATGGGACATATTTTTTGGACATGGTCAACATTGGAATATGCTTTGCTGGCTTATGTGAGTTTGTTTTATAAGGGGTTTCTTTTATTTAATCATTCTGTTTGGAAAGGATCAGTGGAAGGGAGAGAAAATAATTGTTTTTTTTTTTTAAAATAAGGCTGGACAAAAGATATATGCTATATAACCCAATATATAACCTTGTGTTTAAATGTTAAAACAATTTAAATTTAGAAACTGCATAACATTTTATTATGTTCAAGAGAAAGAAATCTCCCAGTAGAATATAGAATATGGGGGTATTATACTTTTTGTGAAATACAGAAAAGTTGTTGTAAATATGTATAATGTATATGTGTGTATACACATACATAAATGTATATGTATATACATATACAAACACACATGTACAAACACACATATACTATATGCATCCTACATGTAATATATACATACATTTTGCGATATATATATATATATATATGTATAAATGTCAGAAAAATAAAAAACAAATGGAAAACAACCATTTTCTTTAGAATCTTCCTTATTTTCCTTTGACATTATATTTTATTAAGAGGTTGTAAATTATATCTTCCTTATTACTTACAATCAGGGAGTCCCTCTCTGAAGGGGCTAGCATGGAAGAACTTATAGATGATTTTGGTTATTGCTATTTTAAAAAAGTTTTCTTGGTTGATTAACTTTTTACCGAGAAAATACAATAAAGTTTTCCAAGGTGCCTATATCTTCTACCAACACTTTTGTTTTGTTTATGCATCATCCACTTCATATTTCTTTGATGTAATCATCTAGTGCCTATAGTCATCTTTTCTCCTTGTGGGAAGGCCCATAACTAAAGAGATATTTCTAAGAAGAAAAAGTTAAAAAAGCATGATAGAATATCTTTAAACATGCAGGGAATATTCAAGAAGATTTAATTTAATCAACAATTTTACACTGAATAACTACTATAGGCCTATCTCTCCACTTTATGAAAGAAGTTAACTATGAAACAGAATAAAAGGCTTAGAGACAAATAAGGAAATATATATAAAAAGTTATGAGATTTTTTAAGAGGACAAATATTTCTAGTAATACTGTAATGACTACTGACTAGACTTTTTTTTCTTGTGATAAATTATCTACATACCTGACAGGCAAAGTTCTGTCTCCTTTTCTTCTGTCCATCTCTCTTTGGGGAACAGGATACCAGCGAAAATTAAGTTTCCAGTTAAAACCTCCATATGTCATGTCTGAACCAGCTGTGTATTCAAAGTTATCATCACTAATCAAATCAATGATGGGGCAGACAACAGTTTTTCTGTAAATAAATTTTTAAAAAGTTAAATTCAACATTTAAGAGTTATATTCACTATTTTTCAAGGTAAGTTTTTCTGTATTTGATATATCAGAAATTAATTTTTGTGAGCTTAGTCAACTTTTATTTTCGTATCCATATTCTCTTCCCTTTTCTGCAATTTTCTTGTAGGTCTCTCTCTTTTATACTATCATGGATAATTTACTTAATATACTAATTCACTTTCAACCTGATTTCAATTTTCTTCCTATGTACTAATTTAGCAGACTGAGCATAGTCTGCTTTTCATGAAATAGCCACTCAATGAACTATAGATTGCTTAGAAATTGTACACACATGCCCTATGTACATCGTTTTCCTCACTGAACTTCAGCTGTGATTAGGAAGGAGGCAAATTGATGGGAAATACAGTCAGACATTTTGGTTGAATCCTAAGTATAATATGGCTGAAGAGGGGTTATCTTAAAGAGGAATTTCTGGTAATAGACTCTTGGAAGAAAGGGGCTTGGGAGGTATTGTGACAGTTGGGATTTTCTTTTTGTATTGCCATTTTGGTTATAATCATCCTATATGGCAGGGTAGATAGTACAATTAAATTGGCCTAGTACCTATGATGTTTCACCCCACAAGTGCAACCTTCTTTGAAGGAGAAAGGAAGAAAGCATTTTTGGGTCTTAAACAGCAGAAATAACATTTTCACTTGGGAAATGCTTAGATGCTCTTCTTGTTCTTTGACATGTTTCTTCTCTTTTTTTATGAGTGTTTTCCCCCTTTAATTCACCCTTGCTTTCTAAAGGAGCTAACTACCTATGCTTTCAACATCTAATACACTGAATAGTGAATGATTTGTTTACTGAAAACTGACTACCAATGAAAGCAAGTACTGATTTTCATATATGGCAGAAAGTCAAGCCACTGACATGCCTCAAAAGTCTCTACTGGATAAGGTATCTGTTGACAAATCCTTTGTGTCACCAGGATCATGAGTTCAATAATCAGTTCACTAGACCCAAGGAGTTGATTAAAATATAACGTACCCTCTGAAATCAGTGTAAAATAGTCTTTTTGTTTTAAATTTGGAAGAACTCTATGAAGGCTGAATACTAAAACAAGTTACATGTCCATTAATTCACTGCTAGTCTCCTTTTAGATCCCTTTCTCTTTTTAGGAAAAATAAATTATTAAAAATTATGTTTTACTACCACATAAGATCTCTTTGTGGATTTACATATATGTGCATATATATATACATATATATGTATATATATATGTACATATATATATATACATATATATGCACATACATATGTATATGGGTATGTGTGTGTTGTGTGCACATATGTGTGTGGATGCATAACTATTTATGGGTGGCAACAGGGTTCAATGGAAAGAGAACACTTGCCACGAGTTAGAGGGCAAGGGTTCAAATTTCCACGTCTGACCTTTACTATTTCTATGACCTTGGGCAAATGACAAACCCCATGAGTCTCTGAAAAATGCAGGTTGTTGAAATAGATACCTTTGAATTACCTTTGTGCTCTAGGATTATGGTTCTATGCGCCTCTTCAAATATTTAAAACAAGATACAAACGTGTATATGCAAATAGAGATAAAGAGAGATAGATGAAAGATATCTGTGTGTATATACATGCATATACATGTACATATGCACATATGTGTCTGTGTGCAAATATAGACATATCTAGAAAAACACGTACTGATACATATAAAAAACTTTTTTGGGGAGCAGGCATGGCTGACCTATGATTTTTATTAGTATAAGGAAGTCTGGATATAGAAACTCTTTCCACCTGTGCAGATTGTTAATGTTTCTATAAGTCATAGTCTTAGGGAGTGGCTTAGGGCAGTCAGAAGTTAAGTGCTTTGCTAATGGTCATTTAGCTAGCATTTGTCAGAGCCTGGGCCTGAATTTTGTTATTTCACACTCAAATACACCTACCTCTCTGTCACTAGAAATATGTAAGTAAAATATAGCAGCCTAGTCTAAGTGGGTTAAAGTTTTAGAAGTGTAAAGTTTTAGAAAACACATATGAAAATAGAGGAGTTATGTATTTTTAAAAATTGCTAACCCAGTGATAAGCTTCTTTAGATAGAGTGAGGCCAGTCTTCAGATGATAGATATGTCTATTTCTTAGACTATACTAAAAGTATTTCTAACTGATACAATCTTCCAAAGTTTATATACATCAGAATGTTCCCCAGAGTCACCTCCTTGCTTTAGAAGTTAGTCTAATAGTTTCTTCCAGGTGAAAGATTATCCCATTAAGTAGGATAGTGTTAGGAATATTCTGAAGATCATATGGCGAGATAAGGTATGAGACACTGAGGTCCATATGTGAGCTACAGTGACAAACATTGAAACTCTATTGTAAAGAGCTCAATTCAGAAGGACTGAAAGGTTACAATTGTTTTGTTCAACTGCTATGGCTCATTTTGCTGACAGCCTTCATTTGTCTTCACAAGCACAGAATCCTGCAACTTACAGTGGAACTAGTCCCAGAATAGGGAGCACTTGTGTTAGATGCCTAAATGGTCATTCAGATTCCCCAAACACCTTTTCTGATGTACACGTCATGACCGTATGAGCAAAACATTATGTAATACTCTATTATTATTTAAGAGACAAAGCAGGACCAATAAGCCTAACTCTTAGCAGAACACAAGGGACCATACTGAAACAACAATACTCTTTCACCTTATATATTCCATGTTTCAATTAGCTGTATATGCATTAATCATAAACAATTCTCACTCAAATATGAAAAAAAAAACATTTTGTGGCACCTTCTTTTGAAGGAGATCCAAATGTCTCTGAGGACTGTAATTACAGGGAAGCAGCATGGCATATTAGATAGAGGTTAGCCTTAGAGTTAGGAAGGCCTGAATTTAACTCCTGCTTTCAACATGTAATAAAAATGTGACTCTGGACAAATTATTTAACCTTTTAATGTCTAGGTAGATTTATTTTAGGATGAAGAGCAGGTACTATGTAGGGAATTTCCTCATTGGGAGTTGCCTATAGCAGTGAAAGCACAGGACCAGTGCTATTCCAGTTCCTATAATAAGTAACATGTTCTCTCTGTCCCAATATTTGTCTCTGTCTCTCTAGCTCACTGTCTCTTTTTTCCCCTTTTATCTCTGTGTGTGCATGAACACATACATGCATGTATGCATATGTATACATATGTATGTATATATTTGAAAATAATTGAACATTACTATATTCGTTGTCTTTATTAATGCTATTGTACTTAACAGTGGTTCTTTTAATTGAGGGTTTCTTAAAACATAGCCTACTGGAAATGACACGGGCAAAGAGTTCTGTTTTTGTCCCTGCTCTGTAAGCAAGAAGCTATGAAATCCTTGGCAAATTATTCCACCTTTCCGTGTTTCACCTTTTTTAATCAGATGAGGATTTTGAATCTACTTTCACTGAATTGTTTGGTTTATATCATATATCTTTAAGTTTAATGTAGACATATACATAGTTGTGTATATACATACACACATTTCAAATTATATACGTATATATGTAACTGTATTATTTATAACCTGATTAATTCTATAAACTTAGTAAATAATTTTTAAATATTTAATTTTATAGCTTTTACTTATACTCATTCAAACATTGCTATGAGGCACATTAGTATAAGAAAAGGATTTTGGCCATATATTTGGACAGATTACTTTTTTTAATATCTCTGTTATGTCTATATATTGCTGTCACTAGAAATAGGAATTTGGCTGAAATGGAAGCTCTGACAGGCCCCCCACCAGAATTGTGTTAACAGGCTCAATCATAACACAGGAAGAAATAAAACATGAACTCTTACCTATTTTCCTTTATTCTTGCCAGCAAGGGCTCCAGCCAGCCTAATGTGCATTCGCAGTGTGCATCTAGAAAAGTTATGACCTGGCCCTTTGAAGCAGCTGCTCCTCGAAGACGAGCACGGATCAGTCCAGATCGCTGTTCCATTCTAATAATTTTCACTGGCACTTCTAAATTTTTCACATAATTCTCTAATGTCATCTTGAGAAAATCTGCAAGATGCAAGACGAATTCATCAGAGAGGGCTGAAACAATAACCACCAAGGATTCTGAGCTGAAGCAGATACTGAACATAGAAATTATGGGCAATTTCTGTCAGGCTGTCTTGAAGAGAATAAAACAAAGGACCCTAAGAATTGTATATGCAACTCATTTGTCATTTATTATGACCCGTATCTTCCAGGTAGTTGATGAGGTCAAGAATAAAAGAGGGAGCTATTTAGACTGTAATTGGGTCCCAAAATGTTACACATCAGCAAATATGCTTCCTATACTTATAAATTATTCCTGTCTCTGCAGTTAGTTCTTAGTATATCCTGCAGAAGCAATACAGAAAGAAAAGGTTGGTAGGAGGGATCTCTATATTCATCTAGATTATCTTAAATAGGAAAATTTGAAAAAAATCCATCATCAGAGGCACTGTTGACTGCACAGCTTATTGCCTGAAAACAAATTCATCATTCTGGGAAGAACTCTGAGTCTGGTGAAGGATGGTTAGAAAAATAGAGACGGTGAAGTTAGTGGGAGAACATTATGAGTTTCATGTTCATGTTATGCTAATTTATTTTAATAACATTTGAAAAGTGAAAGTTTTTACAACATAGGCACTCCACTTTTCTTGCTCATATATTATTCCATTCTTGAACTGGGCCCCAGAAACATGATTTGAGGGTGAGGGAAGGACACAGTGCTAAATACAGATAGGGGCACTATAGAGTTGGGGGAAATCTATTTAAAGTCTTGTCTGAGTTGTGGGTGGTGGGGAGAACAGAGTTATCAAGAATCTACAATACTATATCTATCATGCAGTTGAGCACCAAGTAAGTGTTTGTTGACATTATGTAAGAATCAAGTTGGCAATCTCACCTGATTGGGAGTTTCCATGGTAAAAAGATCTGTGAGCTTAGAAATAATTAGTAACTTCCTAAGGCTTTTATGTAGACTGGTAAAAACTTTCATAGACACATAGGTCAAACACTTAAAAATAGTTTTCTAAAAAACTATTTTCTATGACCTCTAATAAGTGACATGGATGCAAAAATGGTATCTAATGTCAAAGAGCTCACAGTCAAAAGTATGAGACAACATACAAACATTTATGTACAAACAATACATTGAGAATACATGGAAGGTAATATTAGGGGAGAAGGTTTTAGAAACTGAAAAGGTGTATAGGGAGGAGGGAGTGAGAACTGAATGTCAGTAGAGATGGAAGATTATTAGAAACAATTTTCTAACAACACACCTAATGATTATAATGCTTTTCTGTGGGAACATAAAATATACAAAAAAATTATTCATACCTCTTTCACTAGCATCATCTACCAAGATGATTTCAGAGAGTAGATAGTGTGGGGACCGATTGATTACACTATAAACAGTTCTGAGTAGAGTGCTCCAGGCTTCATTATGAAACACTATTACTACACTTGTGTTTGGAAGTTCATCAGGGTAGACTTTTGTCTTGCATCTGCCAATGAGGGAAAAAACACTGAATTTAACCTCTTGGGGAAAAAAAGCATTTAATATACTGAAAAACAGCATTGTGAGGTAGATTTTGCCATGCTGTGGAGTCAGGAAAACAGCTTTGAATTCTGTCTCAGGAACTTATCAGCTTAATGGAGTAGTTATAATACTTAATATCATGTCTAATAAAGGTGGTATAACTGGACATTTTTGCTGTAAATCTTAGAGGGAATGTTTCTAATATTTCTCTCCTCTATATTGTATTTATTCTGTACTCAAGGCAAAGATTTTTTTTAAACAAAGAGGTTTTTTTAATATTTTATTGTGTCTGATTACATGTAAAACTACTTTTAAAGCCCATTTTTCAAAATTTTGAGTTCCAAATTCTCTCCAACCAGGCCCTCTCCCTTATTGAGAAGGCAAACAATTTGATATAGGTTACACATGTTCAGTCATGCAAAACATATAGAAAATACAGACCCCTTAATAAAAACATCAAGAAACAGAAAGAAAGAAAAAAAGAAAAGTACACTTGATCTCTAATCAAACCATCAGTTTTTCCTCTGGAGGTAGACAGCATTTTTAATCATGATTGCTTCAGAATTGCTTTAAATTGTTATATTGATAAAATAGCTAAATCATTCACAGTTGATCATAATACAATATTGATATTACAGTGTAAAATTTTGTCCTGGTTCTGCTCACTTCACTTTGCATCAGTTCACGTAAGTCTTTCTAGGTTTTTTTTTTTTCTAAAAGCATCCTGTGCATCATTTCTTTATTTAATATAAATACCAAATTTAATACAATATTAAACTTGCATGCTCCAAATACCTCAGCACATAAATTCACAAAGAAAAATTAAATAAACTGCAAAAAGACATAGTAACACAATAGTAGCAGGAGAGTTAAATGTCCCTCCTTCAATCTTCAATAAGCCCAACAGAGATGGTAACAAAAGGGAAAAAGACATAATTAAATGAATTACTAGAGAAATTAGAGCTAAAAAAATATGCTATCTTCAAAATGGGATTGCTAAGGAATATACATATTATCAGAATTATTTGCATTTTTAAAAAATGACCATATGTTGCAGCTAGAGATGTTGTAAACAAATATAAAAAATAAAAATACAAAGCATAAAAATAGAATAAAAAGATAATCAATTCAAGGAGTCCTAAAAAAATGGAGACTGCTAATAAAATTCTAAATAGCAAATGGGTCAAAGAACAAATCCTAGAAAGAATAAATATGCGTAATAACATATTAATGGTAAAATACTATACCAAAACTTTCTGGGTTTCTGCTGAAGCAGACCTTAGGTGAAAAATCATATTCTTCAAAACACAATTATCATAATAGGAAGGTTAAGTGTTAATGAACTCAGTATGCATTTTTTTATTAGAAAGCCAATAAATAAAACTCCCAACATAAGCATAGAGGAGGACACATTGAAAATTAGAGAAGTAAAGAAAAAGTGCCCTTTGATTACCTTCAAATAATGGCCCATGTCCTGCAAACCCACTGGACTGATTAACCTTAAATTGTTAAGAGCCTCATTCTACCTTTCCCTCTTTACAGTATTATGTGTGTGTGTTCATCTGTTCATTATTTCTTACTTTTTTTTAAATCTCTTTGAGATACTGACTTGATATTGCTATTGCTATATCAAAGGATATGCAAAGTTTCATAGCGCTTTGAGCATAGTTCCAAATTGCCCTCCAGAATGTTTGAATCAGTTCACAACTCGACCAATAGTGTGCTAATATCTCAATGTTTCCAGGTCCTCACCATCACTTGTCCTTTTCCTTCTTTGATATATTAACCAATGTGTTAGATCTGAAGTGGTAACTCAGAGTTGTTTTAATTTGCATTTCTTTAATTAGTAGTGATTTGGAACATTTTTTCATATGACTATAGATAGCTTTGATTTCTTTGTCTGAAAACTGGCCACTCATAATCTTTGACCATTAATTAATTGGGGAATGACTTGTATTAAGAACTTGACTCAGTTTTCTATATATTTGAGAAATGAGGCCTTTATCACAGAAACTGTCTGCCAAATTCTTTTTCAGCTTTTTGTTTTCCTTCAACCTTGGCTGCATTGGTTTTGTTTGTGGAAAACCTTTTTAATTTGATGTAATCAAAATTATCTGTTTTATATCACATAATGCTCTCTATGTCCTTTCTGGTCATAAATTCATCCATAATCCATAGATCTTACAGAGAAACTATTCCATACTCTGCTAATTTATGGTATCACCCTTCATGTCTAAATGATGTACCTACTTTGACCTTATCTTGGAATTCAGTGTGAGAAGTTAGTCTATACCTAGTTTCTGCCAAACTGTTCTCCAGTTTTCACAGCATTTTTTGTCCAATAGTGAGTTTTTGTCCCCAAAACTTGGATCTTTTAATTCATCTAACACTACATCATAATGGTTATTTACTTTTGCCTACTGTGTACCTCATATATTCCACTAATCCACCAGTCTATTTCTTAACCAGTACTAGATTGTTTTGAAGATTACTGCTATGAAGTAAAGTTTAAGTTCCAGTATAGCTAAGCCACTTTCCTCCACATTTTTTTCATCAATTGCTTTGATATTTTTGACCCTTTGTTATTCCAGATGAATTTTATTATGTTTTCTAGTTCTATAAAATATTTTTGGTAGTTTGGTATGGTAGTGAATAAATAAATCAATTTAGGTAGAATTATCATTTTGGTAGGTCATATTGGCTTGACCTATACAACAAATTTTTCTAATACTCTAGATCTGATTTTTTTTGTGTGAAAAGTTTTTGTAATTGTGTTCATATAGTTCTTGGGTTTGTCTTGGCAGGTAGACTCCAAGTATTTTATATTGTCTGAAGTTTTATTAAATAGAATCTCTCTATGTCTTCCTGATGGACTTTGTTGGTAATATATGGAAATACTGATGATTTGTGTGGGTTTATTTTATATTCTGCAAATTTCCTAAATTTGTTAATTATTTCAAATAGTTTTTAGCGAATTCTCGAGGATTCTTTATGTATATCATCATTTCATCTGTAAATAATGGTACAAAACTTTAATTTTTTTCTTCTTTTATTGCTATAGCTAGCCATTTCTAGTAAAATATTTATCTTTTGTTTATTTTTTAATTTATGCAATAAAATGATCATTTCCATAACATAGCAGAATAACAAAATGATGATTGCACATGAAACTCCACATTTATTATGTGCAACTTGCTATTCTTTTTAAATATATAATAAATTCATCATGTAAATTTCTTGGTTTTTTTTCCTTTTTTTCTTCCTGCTACCCTAGAGATGGCTAACACTAGACATTATATATGTATATGTATGTAAATACATGTACACATATATATGTAACACGCATGTGTGTGTGTAAAATCAATCTATACATACTTCAATTTACAACTTCTTTCTTTGGATGAAGATTTTCCTTCATATATACAATATTGAGTAATAGTGGTGATAACGTGCATCCTCGCTTCACTCTGATCTTATTGGGAAGGCTTCTAGTTTATCCCCATTACAGATAATGCTTGATGGTGATTTTAGATAGATACAACATTATTTTGGGGAAACATCTATTTCTTACTGTTTTCTTGTGCTTTCAATAGGAATAAGTATTGCATTTTGTCAAAAACCTTTTTCTGTATCTATTGGGATAATCTTATGATTTTTGTTAGTTTTGTTATTGATATGGTCAATTTTGCTGACAGTTTCCTAATATTGAACCAGCCCTGCATTGCTAATATAAATCTCACTTAATCATAATGTATGACCTTTGTGATTTATTGTTATAATCTCCTTGCTAGTATTTTATTTTTATAAATTTGCATCAATATTCAGTAAGGAAATTGGTCTGTAGTTTTTTTCCTCTATCTTTGCTCTTCCTAGTTTAGGTATTAACACCATATTTGTGTTTTAAAAGGAATTTAGTAGGATTCCTTCTTTGCCTTTTTTCCATATAATTTATATAGTGTTGGAATTCATTATTCTTTAAACATTTGGTAGAATTTACTTGTGAATCTATGTGGTTTTATGTAAGGGACTTCATTGATGCCTTGTTCAATTTCTTTTTCTAAGATTTATTTCAGAATTCTGTTTCCTTTTCTGTCGATGTCAGCAATTTAAAGTTTTATATAAGTTCCTCCATTACACATAGATTGTCAGATTTATTGGCATAGGACTGGGCAAAATAGCTCCTAATAATTTCTTTGATTTTCTCTTTATTGGTGGTGAATTCACCTTTTTAATGGTAATTTTGTTTTCTACTTTTTTTTTAAATCATAGACCAATGGCTTATCTATTTTAGTTCATAAAACCAGCTCCTAGTTTTATTTATTAGGAAGCAATTTCCCAAGCTTCAGACCTTTCTTGCTGTTGCTCTCAGGACTAGTTTTATGGGGCAGGTAAGTTTTCAGGTCTTCCAAGGTGGTATGATATAAGAAGAGGTGTCACCACTGCTTTCCTGGCTTGTGATCTGGTCTGTGAGCAACTGCAAGCTCTCATTTCTGCCCTTGAACTATGATGAGGGCCCTGCCTCCTGCTAATGCTCCTTCTCACTTTGGCTCTGTGATCCAGAACTGCTTATGTGAAATGCACCAGTGTCTTGCTCCCAGTGTCAGCAAAGTGGTCCCTGTAATATCCTTCTGATCAGTCTCTGACACCATTACTATTCTTGGGCTGAGCTGTTACTGCAACAAATTCAACTGGTCCCCAGGCCTGCTACTGTCCTGAGTTACAGTGTATTCCACTCATACCCAAGTAAGATAGACCTTTCCTGTTGACCTTCTAAGTTGTCTTGAAATGGAAAGTTCTTTCACTCCAACCTTTTGTTGATTCTACTACTCCAGAATTCATTTTTGTGTTTTATTTTAAAGTTGTTTGGTTGGTAATTTGAGACAGCTCTGACAAATCCCTGCCATATCTCACATGTCTTGGCCAGATTATATTAAAGAAAACCAATTCTTTATCTTATTTTATTGCTCTGTGTGATGAAGAATGATTTATCTAATCTCTCTAAGCCTCAACTTCTATTTCTGCAAAAGGAAGAGTAACTGCTACATAGGGCTATTGTAAGGACCATATGAATGTACATAAAGTATGCTGCAACCTTTAAAGAGCTGTATAATGCAAGCTATTTTAATGCTGATATTAAAAAAGTATAAAATATGCAAGGTCATTTTCCTTATCTATTTAACAAAGGGATTTTTGGAATTATATGATTTGAGAGGTCCCTTCCTGCTATGGATTTATGAAATTAAATAAAATAATAAACTATGGTGTAACAATCAAGGCAAAATATAATTCTCATAAAGAACACTCTGTACTTACAAGGCTGTTTACTTTCTGTAAGCAGGCAGAATGATAATAATTGCTACCATTACTAAATATAATGTCTTGATGAAAAGAAGAGTTTGTGATGCTACTTATTAAACAAAAATCAAAGTTGAAAATAAGGACAGGACATTTTACCTAAAACCTGAAAAAAAAATTGGTCTACAGCAGGTGTTCTTAATAAGGTTTCTGTGAACTTTAAATGTACACACACACACGCATATAACTATTTCAGTATAATAATTTCCTTTGTAATGCTATGTAATTAAAAATATATAATTTGAGAAGTCCAAAGACTTCACCAAGCTGGCAAAGTGATCCATGACATAAAGGTCAACAATCCCTGATATAAAAGATACTTAGACAAGCAAGAAACTAGCCCTGATTATAGAACATAATAATTTTTAAAAGTTCATGAAGTCTATAGTAGTAATAGTTTTTCCTATTCTTTCAAAGTTACCTTTTAACTTAAAAAGAGAATGACATAATAAGGACAAGGAAAAAAAAGAGGGGGATGGGGAGGATCATATTTTATTCTCTAACATGCCTTATAATAACTGTCTTTAAAATTGTCTCCTCCCTCATGAACCACATTATTACCAGTATTGTGAAAAAAAACACCCCTACACAATTTAAGAGATGATCTATTTTAAGGAATTTAAGGTACATAAGGAAAAATACAACTAATTAGATATCAATGGTTTTCATTCTATATTCCAGAGTAAGCAAAGCTCTCAAGCCAACATGGCTAATTTGTCAAATCCAAAACATGGAGATCATATATTTACCATCAACTATTGGTCTAAAGATTTACAGATGGAAAAGACCTTAGAAGAAACCAACATTCTCTTTTTACAGAGGAGGAAATTCAGTCCCAGAGAAGGTAATTTTTTCTCAGGGTTACATGGTAGCACAGACAATCCTCTGGCTCCAAAACTATGACTCTTCCAATACATAATATCACAAGATCATTGTCAAAAAATACTTTAACAAACCAGAAAGATTTATGTGATGCAGTTTTTCTGCTTTTTGTTTTCAGCTAACATAGCTCCCATAACAAACAGGGCACATATTTTAAAGTAATTTTCATTTCAGAGTGAGGATTAGGGTATCAATGAAAATTAAGGAAGTATTAATATTGACAAGCTAACAAATAACTTTATTCTATAAGCCAATACACACATGTGAGCTAACCATTTTGCAGGACAGTCCACACAAGATTCTGGGGAAGAAGGTGATACAAAATAAATAAATAACTCCTACCCTAAAGAAACTTGGATTTAACAGATGTTTCTATAAGCTTCAATAACTACAAAGGACTAAATGTACTTTATTTCAGCTAATTCCAATAACAGCCAACTAAGGTAATGAGGAAATTGAGGCTCAAAAAATTTAAATGAATTTTTCAGGTGAAGCAGATTTAGGAAGAGATGAAACTGAATCAAAATGTGGCATTTTTTAATTCAAGATTCAGTAACTCCTCCCCCACAGGCATTAAGTGACCTTTCATTGCATCTTTTGGCAAAAAGGCATGGTCCTTTCTGCAAGAGGTAGAAACTAAATATTTTTTCTTCTTTTTCTTATGGGAGGGAGAATCAGAAATGAATAAGAAATATCTTCAGAGGAATCTTTAAAAGTTATCAAAATAGAAACAATTTTTCAGTTCCCGCATATTCCTTTCAGATTTACTGAGCACTTTATTGTACAGTGAATAACCGACTCAGAAATATTCATTATGCATTCATTATGTTTGTTGGAATCATAATGAACTCATTTACTATTAAGAAAGCTTTTATGTGCACTTCTACAGAATTTCCACTGTCATCACTAAATGTATCATAAAAATAAAGTGCTACTAATACTTTTATTAAAAATTTTGCCTCACTTTTAAGGAGTCATCTGCAAGAATATCTTTCTTTTGTTCATTAAATAATATATAGGATTACTCTTTATCTGTGTTACCTTCCAGGGCAGGCTATTCAGAATCTTGTATATGCACTCTTTAACATCTGTAGCAGTTGATATGTAATCATTTTGATAGGATCAGATATGCCCATGATATATGAGATAAATTGTCTAGTTGCCTGGAGACATAGTGAAATGGCATAGGAAAGAAACGACATTTCCTTAATAAAAGCAAAATTATTTATTTATTTATTAACACCCAGCTCTTTCTTTTAACAGATTTTAAACAAAGACACAAAAATTACAATAAAATACTGGCAAAAAACTAGAAAGCAGTTTTGGAAAAGATAGATTTATATAATAATATTACACTAAAAAGAATTCCAAATGGGTGAGAAGCAAATATAAAAAGTTGCATCATTGAAAAAAGTTAGAGCACAGGGGAAGATGATATCTTTCACAATTGGATTAGGGGAATTTTTTGCCTAAGTTATAACAGATAAAAATTATAGGAAAAAATAAATGATTGCAAAAATATAAAAAAAAAATTGTTACAAATAAAACAATACAAGTAGAAACAAAAGCAAAGATACACAGTGAGACAAATTGGAGGCATTAACATCTCTGGTGAAATTGTAGCATCTAAAATCATCAGAGAATTTATACAAACCAGTACAAAAGAGCAATTTCCCAGCAGATAAATGATTAAAGGATACAAATAATCCTCAAAGGAAGAAATACAAACTCTTGAAAACATTTCAAAGATTGCTCAAAGTTGCTAATAATTGGAGGAACAAAAAATTTGCAAATTCTGGGGCATCATCTTGCCCCTATAAAATTGGTAAAGATGGTAAAACATGAAAAGTTAAATATTGGATTATTTGTTTGAAAATAAGCAAGCTTGTGGAAGTTTGAATTTTTCTGACCTTTGTAGAAAGCAATTTGGAATTAAGAAAAGTTATAAAACTCTCCATACTCTTTGAATAGTGACCAAAACACTGGGTTGATACCACCACAGTAAAGTTATTGGCAGCAAGAAAAGACTGATCTGGGGAAAAAAAAATCAGAAGCACTATTCGAATAATAACCGATTGGAAAGAAACTATGTGCCCAAAGATTGGGGAGAAATGTGGTGTATTAATGTAATGGAGATTATTGAAATGTGACAAGAGCTGAGTATCAAAAATTCAAAGAAATATTAAAAAAAACTTGAAGGATATGATACACAATTAAAACAGAAAATCAAAAGAAGACCACACTTAAGGAGAGATATAGACTAGCCAGAGTATTTGCATGAAAGGGTGACTAACACAATGAAAGGACCAGAGAATTTGTCATAAGAGGATCAATTAAAATACTAGGGGTGTTTAGTCTGTTGAAGATTTAAGAGGAAATATGATTGCTCTTTTGAAGAAGAGGAACTAACGTCTATTGCTTGGCCTGAAAGGAAAGATGAAGAGAAATGGGTAGGCATTGCAGACAAGCAGATTGCAGTTTGGTTTAAGGGGGAAAAATGTTTCTAACAATTAGAGCTATTAAAAAGTGGGGAGTGGTAGAATTTCTTTGATTGGAGCTCTTCAAACATAGGCTGAAAAATGACTTGGTGGAAATGTTATACATGAAATCATATGTCAAGTATCAGTTGATCTACGTGGTTTATAAAGTCTCACCCAGGTTTTAGCCTTTACAATTATACTGACTATGAGATTGTAACACTAAGTTCCATAAGCACTTCCAATCCTTTTCTAAATTATTTCTGTGCTCTATCTGCATCTCTTTCTGTGTTTCTCTGTCTCTGCCTACATACATGCACATCTGTATGCATATGTAGAAATAGATAAGTCCTTAAGCAACTTACTATATATAATATATATATATATATATATATATATATATATATATAGTGCTTGCTGATATTTTAAAAATACAGAATGCATACATTTTCATAAACTATGTTTCTAAAATATCAGATGTCTTGAATGAATGATTGGCATGCTTTGGCATGAATTTTTTGGTTATTATGCAGAAGGCAGATATTCTATGCTGTTGATTGGAAAGCAATCCATATGCTTTAGATAACTAACATGGAGGGGATTGAGTTCATTAATGTAAAATTCAGATGTTTTGGTAAAATTCTTAAGAAGATACAGACATTACCATTTCCTTTAGATCCTTTAGGCAGAAAATAAATAACACACTCATGTTAAAAAAAAAAAACAGATTTCATTGAAACTATATATAAAGATATGCACTTATTTCTACCAAAGCTTTTGCAGCAAAGTTTGCAGACACAGATGGAGGTTAAGATTAATTAAGGAAAATATAACATTATTATAGCCATCATATAAAAGACTTAAAATTGTTTTGCACTTATGTATACAACAAATGCAATTTACAGCATCTAATTTTACTATGAGAGGAAATCACT